TTTGTGTGAATATATATATATATATATATATATATATATATATATATATATATATATATATATATATATATATATATATATATATATCAAAAGAGATATTAAAGCTTCTAAATATTATTAGACTCTTTCTCAACAATTTAAGTTTCTTGATTAATAGCACGATAGAGAAAACCAAAGTGGGAAGCCAATATCCGTGCCTTATTATTTCAGGGAGTAACTAATTAAGAGGATTAGGTCGGGCATAACTCGCATGCATCCCACCCCAATCCAGGTAGACATCGTATCCTGCCGTGACCTACGGTGGCGCGTCTTTGTCGACAACAGCTGCTCTTCCACCACCCTTTGCCTTCTTCTCTCTCTCTCTATCTCTCTCTCTCTCTGTGGCTTTGATTTGTTTACCTGGTCATGCTGCTGCAGATTTATTTTCTACTTCTTTTGACGCATCGGCCTTTGGAGCTTCGAAAGACCAGCCACCCCCATGCCTTTCACGGTGTCTCCCTGAATCATTGAACCCATCTTTCGGCCCTGTGGATGGCTGTCGCTTTGCAGACTATGTGCGAGAGCCGGACATGCGAATCGTGGCGAAGTGAGCGCAGTGGAGTGGACATCCCGCTCCGACCCCATCCCTTCGATGTGCCATCTACCGCCAAAGCGAAGACGGCTTTCGACTCTGCGCTCCGAGTGGAGTGCAGTCCAAGGACGTGTGATTCCAGTCAAGTGGGTGATGCGACGGGAGACCTCTTTTGACCGGAGGTGGTGAGTTCAGTGACATACTTAATGTCACTTCTATTACCGTCCGAGATCCTACCGAAAGACGTCCGCAGCCTCGTGTCATTGAGTAGCCAAAACGATGAATCAGAAGAGACTGGGACGCACAGGCCTCATCTACGTGATCAAGAATGGATCAACCAAGATGAATGCAAGCACGCATCGGTTGCTAACATTTTTGCTTGAGTACACACACACAGAGACCACCTTCCTAAGAGGACGATTCAGAATCAAACAGCCACATTTGCTTCAAATTTGCATAAAATAGATTGGACTTACAAGACATCATCAGCTCAAACCTAATTTTGTCTCGTAGAACCTTCGGAAAGCAAGCAAGATATCAAGCAGAAGTAAACAAAACAAAACATTACAGAGCTTACAATCTCTGGTTTAATGGATCCTTCCTGCTAATCATCATTAGGCCTCTTTCTTAAATTTCATCATCAAAATGAACCATGAAATCATTAAAACAGTACAACTGCTCAGTGTAGACAAAGTCACCACACAACACATCTATGTATAGCAGTTATATAATGTCTCAAATATCATGTGCAGGTGAAGGTTAAAAAACCAAAATGAAGGATGCCAGAAGGTTTAGATTTCAGTCATTCTTTCATGACGGCAGACATCGGCGGAAAACAGCCATCATCAATGAAGAGAATGTGGCTGGCTGATGGGATCACCAACTCTTCTATTGCAGGGCTGTTGTTCGACAAGGACAGCAGAGTTACACCCACACATTTACAACATATCTCCTAATTCAGACTATTAGAGATGCACATAAACTGGAGAACTTGCCAACACCACCAAACTATTGATTACTTCTATTGTCAACCAATGAGAAACTCTAGAATTGTTTAATTATAGAAAACCGGAAGCTAAGTTGGATTAAACAACTGATTTATCGGATTTTATTTCTGCTGGATAGGCCTTCAATCATTGCTTTTTTCAGTCTTCCGCCGTAGATCACCTTCTGAGATGACCATGGGTTTTTAGTTCATTAAGTCAGTTTCCTGTACATAAAAAAGGCATAGCATTTCGGTTCCTCGGAAAAGGCATCCTATTGCGACACAGGGGTTTTTGCTTATTCCCCCCTTCTCTTTTATCTACGTAGTGATGGTCTCAGCCAAGCTTCTCGCCTATCTCATACCGCGGTGATGCCACAAGAATAAGTGAACCTTTATGCTGCAACAGAGTTGTGCTTTCTAAAAGTTGGATACCAAAAGCCTCCGTCGACAAAGAACAATTCGTCACAAGTCAGCACAACTAAAACAATCAAGACATTTTTACTAGTCTACAATTTACGAGCAAACTACACGAACAAAAGCCAAAATCTAGCGTATTTCACAATGTAATTCATATTGCATTTCTAACCTCGATGTCTAATGTATTAATAATATAGTTCAAATATGAAAATGTTAGTAATTCAGAAAGAGGAAAGGAAAAGGAAATGGAAGAATGCATAGAGAAGGGGAGAAAAAACAAAAAAAGTGATCCAAACATTGTAGGCATCAATTATACCTATAATTTTTTTTTCTTTTTTCCCTCGATAGATCTTATAAATTTGTACAGATAAATTAGCACTTCCAAATCCAAAGGATACATTTATATCCTACAAATTCAAGTAGTATGCCAATGAAAAGTGCAAAAGGTGGAAAACTTAGCAAAGTAAGCCTTGGAACATTGTTCAACAGTTGACCTAACAAAGAATCCTATGGCACCATGACTTTTAACAAAAGATGCCACCACGAATGCTCCCCTATACATACATTGTCATCAAGACAACTTCTCCTTATTTTATTTTGTAGAATAATAATTAGAATAAATCTTGTATTCTATTTATTTTATAGAACACATCCAATATTCAATTTCTCCGTACCTTTTAATAGATTTATGTCTCAAACAAAAGGATATTGTGGTCATAGTATTAGAAAAAACATCAAATGTCTATGAATCTCGTAGACAAAACACTAAATTTATTCACATATAACGGAGTACCCAAGTATCTCATTCGAGGAAAGACAACAGTACAAAGATAAAAGGAAAACAAAATAAGAGCCGGTAACATTACCGCTAAGAAGTTCGAGCTTGAAAGACTAAGCGGGCGCACGGGCGCAGCGGGCGGTAGCCTCACCGCGGGGGCTCGCCACAGCCAAGCCCTCCGGCTCCGGGTCGGCGTTCAGATCGAGGCAACGCGACGGCTTCGCCGCGCTCTCCTCCGCAACCTTATCCGCGGCACCACCGTCCCTGGCAAGACCGTCGCCCTGGAAGTCCTCCAACGCGAACTCGGGGCTCCACCTGGGCCCAGCGGGAGGGGGAGGGAGAGGCGGAGGCGGCTGCGGCCTGGAGTCGCTTCGAGCTCCTCCGCCGGCGGTAGCGATGGAGCGCGAGGCGTCGCGCATCCTGCGTAGGATGGCGAAGAACTCCTCGACCTCGTCGTCGGTCGCCTGAGGATCGTCCCCGGATGCTGCGCGCGGTTTCGAGGGGCGGGGTTCGTCGTCGCCGCTGCGTCTCTTCCGCTTGGAGGAGGAGTCCATCAAAGGGAGGCTTGACGACGTTGCGAGCTTTCTATTGGTATGTAGACGGAGATCAGCGGAGCTTTCTATTCAGTTCCCCGAGTGGCGGTCGCTTCACTCTTCTCCTTGCCGAGGAAGAAGAAAATTATAAAGGAAAGCAAGTACCCAAAACAAATTCTTTATTCATCCTTTAAGGAAAATATCACACACTTATATTATATTATAATATATATATATATATATATATATATATATATATATATATATATTACGATCGATTATTTATATCATAAATTTAATTAAAAATATTTAAAAAAATTCTCTCTATATATATATATATATATATATATATATATTACGATCGATTATTTATATATAATAAATTTGAATATGGGATGAATAATTAGAACAAAAATAGGACGTTAATTAGGATAACCTCACGAAACTCATCGGCGGCTTCCGCCGACGACCGCTCAGTTCCTCTACGAGTCGAATCAACAGAAATCCCTTCCGATTTCCCCATAAATCAACGGGATGACGTGACGGTGGCATAAACATGACGGAGTGTCGATGAGGTCAAGGTGGGACGGTCCCCCGCGTCAGCACCCCCAACAGCGGTCGACGGTCAACAAGCAGTCTTCCCATTTATCTTATTTTAGTCATCCAAGTAAAACACCGATCGAATGTGACCTCACACCATCAACACAAGACCCCTCTCTCTCTCTCTCTCTCTCTCTCTCTCTCTCTCTCATCTGATTTCAGTCGATCAAAGGTAACCATAAAAGTACAGCCAAATAAATAGTGAGACTTAGAGTCATTAATGTTGTCTCGCAGCATAGTAAGCATATGGTATTCGACGTATAGGAAAACGTAAATCTGCACAGTAGTCATCTCGACAAAGAGAGAGAATCACGGCTGTTCTTATATTAGTGTTCTTTATGATGATACTATGCGTGATTGGAACAATTAATTCACTTGATTATTAGGTTGGTTGCTCTAAAACTAAGAGTACCAATAAAGATAAGAATCCGAGACACATCGTCGTCATCGACATCATCAACACACAGTAGCAAAGGAGGGGGTGGTGTCAGCTTCCTTACCTAATCGAAGACCCACACGCAAAAGGCCAGTCACGCTTGTTGGAAGTTTTGTATCGATGTGAGGGTGCTATGTCAGATTGCTATAGAGATTGAATTATTCAACCCAACTTTTCCAAAGCGTATATCTATGTATAGTTTCTTTTTTTTTTTGCTTTATGTAAAGTGATGTAGAAAGATTTCGAACGTTCTACGTCGAAGGTCGATGAGCTCTTCACAGGTCGAGATAGACAGACGAAAGGAATCATAAAAGGAGGAGCTCAGTGGTCGAACAGTGCCACGTAGAACGGAGAACGGAGAGAGCTCACTTCGCTTCCATTCCGGTGACCGACATGCATATTGTGGTTTGCGAGTCGAAAGGACCGGTCCAAAGGTGCTTTGATAATTAATAAGATTGAGGTGTCTATCGCCATCGAACAAAACGACTGATTGATCGTTTTTCTTATCGACGAGTCAAAAAGGTTTTGGATGCTAACTCAAAGATACTGAAACGAACGGGAAAACAAAGGAAGGAAGGAAGGAAGGAAAGAGAGGTATAGAAATGAAAGCAAACGAATAGTGATCGATGATTAATTATATGCAAAGAGTTGGTTTAGTCCGTCTCTCCAAAACATGCAAACGCAAAGCTCCACACAAACAAAAGATTACATGATTTATGGGGCCCATAAAACTAGTGGGATTCCGTGAATCATGTGAAAGACACACACCACATTCATACCGCAAAATCCAAACGGGTGGATTGGAAGATGACCGAAGCCATTGTCGAGATTAAAATAAGAAAAGAACAATCTTCGTTGGATTTGACAAGACGAATATGATTCGAACAACTCTTCATCGTTCCATTGACCCACAAAGTCACATGCCATGATCGATGACAACGCGGTTTCGAAATGAACTATCTCAATAGAAGACGATTTCACTCGAATTCTATATCACAAAAATAATCGGGCCATTCTTACTTTTATGAAACCTTTGACTTCAACTTCCCCTTCTTTCTATATCAAAAATGTATCCCAAGAATTAATCAATATTTTATACGTTCATTGGATGTAATTATTCGAAATATTATTCGAATGGAGTTTTGATAGATACATGACTTACGACTTATTAATATATAATAATCTTAATGTCTCCTTTTATCATTTATGTTATTGATCGAAGCGAATTATGTTCGGAATTAA